CCTGGGTCGCGAGCGCAGGTGGCTGGCGGAGCGGCGCAGCTGCCTCCTCTCCAGCCGGTGCAGCTTCTCGGCCTCCTGCTGCTGTTTCTGCTGCTCCGACTGAAAGAGGAAATGGGCGAGGGTAGCAGGGTGCAGGCGCCATGCCCTAGTGGCTCCCACACTGCGGCTGCCCTGCCCAGGTCCCCGCACGGCCTCCAAGAGCCCAGCTCGGCACCCACAGAGCCACACGTCATCACAGACGCTGGGCTGTGGGGAAGGGACCCTCAGCCCAGGGCTGGGGACGGTGACCATGGGCCCTGGAGGCGGAGGGGGCCCGGGAGACACCAGCTGCCGCTCCTTGGTCACCGCCCGGCAGCACCCAGTCCCTGAGCCACAGAGGGCTGGGCTCTCCGCTTGGGCAGCAACAGCAACTGCTCAGCCCCGCTCCTGCCCCGCTATCCCCTCTGGCTGACCTCCCTCCCGCACCCTCCTCCCGGGAGACAGCAGTCGGTGCGATGTGTTTTTATCTGTGAAAAGCTCAGTTGAACCCTCTGCTCGCCCAGCTGCCTGACCCTGGTGGACAGCATGGGACTCGGGTGCCTTCATGCCTCTTCCGGGGACAGGATCTCCCTGGGGTGGGGCCTGGCACCCCCTGACCTCGCTGGCCACGGGCGGCGTGCTGACTCCGGGGCACTGGACACACTGCCACCCTCTCCACAGGAAGGGGCCACTGCTCTGTACAGTGCCACAGACAGGGTGGCTCTCAGGACAATCAGCGTGGCCCACACAGGGTCTGCTGGGCAGGATGAGCCCCTGTTTGACGGGCTGCACCCAGCGCAATCTGAATATGCTCTGGGCTGGGTGTGGTGATGCATGCCCAGCATCCCAGCACTCAGGAGGCTGAGGCAGGAGGATCTCAAATTCAAGGACAGCCTGGGCTGCATAAGACCCTGTCTCAAAAACTAAAATGTAAACACTACCACATGACTCAGCAGACTGGAAGGAGGGGAGTTTGCCTGAGAAGTGAAGTCCTGCCGTTCCACTGTGGTTAACAGCAGATACGTAAGCAGTGGGTCCTTCCCAGTCAGGTGAAGGAATCACCCCAGAAAGGGATCACCACCAGTAGAGGTCTCCCCAGGGGATGACAGAACTGAGATGGCCAGGGGGGCCACGGCTCGCCGATTCCTGGTTCTTAGGGACTACTGGGTGCTGGGTTTTCTTCTTCCAGACCTGAAGGCTGAGGCCAGGGCCTCACTCATACACCCTAATCAGGTGTCCTGGCATGAAACAGCATCCTTGGCTCCTATTTCATTTTGAGACAGGTTGGCTGGCTCCAACTTGCAATCCTCCTGCCTCAGCCTCCTGGGTAGCCGGGACATAGGTATGCACCTCCTGGGCCCCTAAGATCCTGCTGCCCTTGAACACCAGGATCTCCTGGGCTCAGGGTTCGGGGACCAGACGGAGCTGCTCGGAACAGGAGACCTGGGGTTGATGCCCACACGCCAGTGCTGGGGAGCCTGTTTATCCCTCTGGGAGCTAAAAACTGACACTGAGAACAACCCACCTTCTTCAGCGTGAAAGTCAGCTGCTTGCTGCCCACAGTGGTGTCGGCCACGCTCAACGTCCCACTTTTGGCCTCAAGTTTCAACCGATCCTCAAGGGTTTTGCTGCAGGGAATTTAAGAGTGACGTTAGTCAGCATCACACTGCGGCAGCCATGTGAGTTAGGATGGACTCTGTGAAGAGAAGTCTCCCGCATGGTGGAAACAGCCACAGGAGGAACGAGATGACTCCAGCTGTCCTGATCCCTGTGCCCTAGGCACGGACCACAGAGCTCAGCAGCTTCCAGCACTGAGGAGGTCAGTGACTGCCACTCACCTTACCCCATACTTGTGCGGTCAAACACAAGGAACAATCTACTGCTGTTTTCTTCTTCTTCTTTTGGCTTTTTTTGGGGGCACGGGAACAAGGTCTTACTATGGAGCCTAGGGCAAAAGCCTTGACCTCACAGAGACCCTCCTGGCTCAGCCTCCCGCATACTGGGATTACAGGCGAGGCAGGAGCTGTTTCGAAGCCTGTAACTAGCGGTGCACAGGGGTGTGTACAAGCCCACGCACAAGTGAGGGAAGCTGGCAGATTAAGGTTTCCAGGTGGCACCACAAAGACCTACGACTGCCCTGCTTCTCTCCTCTTACAGCGTGAACGAGACACCGTCCAGCAGTCTATTCTGAAAGAAAGCAAAGCACTTCCGCTTCGGGGCAATTGGACCCTTCAGCCTTCCCTGCTCCCTCAAGGTCTTTCCTTTCAGACATTTCCTAGAGTTATTCTCTTTGATACACTTTACCCTGAAGAGAAACCTCTTTTTATTTCTCGATCATGTTTTCCAAACACTTCTAGGTCACTTTATATACACGGTTTGTGTCTCTGTTCTTATTTTGTGTTTATATTTTGAGCCACAATCTCCCTAGGTAGCCCAAGCTGGCTTTGAAGTCACAGCAATCCTCCTGCCTCAGCCTCCTGAGCGCTGGGAGGATAGGCGTGTGCCACTGTTCCTGGCTTGCGTCTGTTCCCTTCTGCTGTGCCTTGAATCCACACTCATCTGTGTAGCTAACAACTCCTCCCGCAACCCCATGACGTCCCACGTGGGTTTTGAGTGAGTTACACAATACTCCACTACATGAGCTATGATAATGGTTTTACTACGAGATGGGACATTGGCCTTTTCTGATAACTTGCTTTAGGGGGAAAAATAAATGATGCCTAAAGGTGCACACTTCCAAAATGGCTCTGATTTTTGGGGAAATGGCTAAACAGGGAGAGGGAAGGAAAAAACGAATCTACATAAAGAAAAAGAAATATATAAACTATAAAATATTTACAATATAAAATATATAAAGACAAGAAATATAGTTTCCTATTGTTTCCTCCTCCTCAAAAACAACCTAACCAAGCCACCCAAACTGAGTGCACCTTTTTAATGTTAAGCTAGAAGACTCGAGGGGGTTTTAAAAGGCTGTGTCACTTGTCCTCCCCTGAAACCTGACCCTGGGACCCAGTTCCTAGGAGCCTTGCTGCTGCGGTCCGGTCCGGGAGGAGGCAGGAGGACTCTGGAGCTCATGTGCCCTCCCTGATGGCTGGACAGCAGACCGTCCTGTGTGGTGCTACCCAGAGGCAGGCGGGAAGCACCTGGGGTCTGCAGGGCTCCTCACGGCTGACTACTTGATTCTCCCAACTCGTCAGGATTCACCCTTCCCACAGGGCAGAGGGTGGCAGGATGCAGGCCACGGGCCCACGGCCAGGCCCAGGGCGTCCCCCAGCCCTTGAGAAACAGCCACATAGGACGGGTGGCAGGAAAGGAAGGGTCCTCTCAGACTTCTGCTTAAGCAAGAACTCTGGCGTGGCCCTAGCAGCTGGTGACACTTTCCTTCTCCCCTCTCAGCTCCAAACTCTGGGGCCACCTACAGTGTGGGGCCTGGGCAGCACGATCTGGGGAGGCACAGGATGGCCGTGTCCACGCGGGAATCCACCGCTGTGGGGAGTGACCCTGCCTTCTCCACCGGGAGACCGGCTTCTCCCAAGCAGGCGCCTGTGCGGACTCGCTCTGTCTGAACCTCAGGAGGCGCCCGCTGGGACGGGCGTGGCAGGAGATCAGAGCACAGGGACCTGGCTTCCGACATGAAAGCACCTAGCGCCTGCATCAAAGCTGGTCCCGGGATGCAGCTACACCTCAGAGACACTGGTGACCTGCTGACAGTCACACTCGGGAACCCAGCCTTGTTCCAGGGGAACTTTCTAACAGTAAAGGATTTAGGGAAAACTCTAACTGGGACAAGGCGAACACCTACAACAGAAATCCTGCCCTCGGGAGGCTGAGGCAGGAGGATCCCTTCAAGTTCAATGCTAGTCAGGGTACACAGCAAGACACGGTCTCGAACATCAACAACAAAACAAACAAAACAAAACATAAAATTGTGGAGCTGGAGATTTGGCTCAGTGGTTCCTCCCCAAACTCAAGAGCCTGAGTTCGATCCCTGGTACAAAAACAAGACAAAACAAAACAAAAAAACACAGTGTAAAATGTTCAAATTTAAAACAAAATAAACCTTAACAAACAAACAAACAAACAAAACAAAACAAAAACCTGCAGACTTTAAAAAGTTGAGGGCAAAGTGGGATTACTCCTGCTGGGTGAGAGAGGCTCGCCAGGGAAGGACCTGGTTATTAGAAAGGCCACCTTGAAACGCAAAGAGAAAAAGGGCATAAACTACAAGGGGAAAAGTCAAATTAGGTATTTATTAGATGCCCCAGGAAAGCTGAGTGATTTACTTGAGGTCTGAAACACACACACACACACAACTCTACAATTTCTTTAATTAGGAATATTTAATTAAAAATAATTCCCTTCAACTTTTTAAATTACTTTGCAGAGAAAGGGAAGTAGGTGGACAGAACCACATAATGTTCTTTTCCTTTGTTTTTTGAGACAGGGTCTCACTATGTAGTTGAGACTGACCTGGAGCTCACTATGTAGCCCAGGCTGGTCTCGAACTCACAGCGATCCTCCTGCCTCAGACTCCCGAGTGCTGGGATGACAGGTGTGCAATACCACGCCCAGCTCTTTCTTTTTCAATACTGAGGATTGAACCCCCTTTGTACTTATCTATCTCCCCAGCCTGCTATCAAGATTTTTTTTTTTTTAATTTAGAGACAGGGCCTCACTAAATTGCTAAATTGCCTAGGCTGCAATGGAACTTGTAATCCTCCTGCCTCAGACTCCCAGAAAGCTAAATATTGAGCTGTCCTGAGACCGCAAGTTTGTCACTAGGTACACAATCAGCATCAAAGAAAACATGGGGGCTAAAGAGATGTGAAGGCTCACAGCGGCACCGCTCTGGGCCCCCCACGGCTGGTGAAGGGACCCACAGAGTGGAGCGGCCCTTGGGCCCTGGTTTGATCCCAGCACCGACAGTGCACTGCCTGTGGTGAGTTTGGCTCTTGGGTGAGGTCTGAACAGCAGACATGGGGGCAGCACTGGGGCAGGGAAGGGTGTGCCAGCCGGCAGGGCACAGGGCTGCTCTAAACAATGGGGTGCTAGAGGCCAGACAACACGATTGTGCCTGTTCACCAATCAGAAGCCACACGGGAGGCCTGGGCCCTCACAGAGGACCCACCCCGCCCAGGGCGCTGGACGCGGCAGAGGAAAGCCAAGTCTCCACTCCGACGCCTCTGCCGCCCGCTGGCGTCCTCCCGGTTTCCACCTCCACAGAAAACCCCCTTTCTGGACCGGAAATGGTGCTCTCAGCTCCTCATTTGAGACCCCAGGACCCCCGCACATCCGGGTCCTGTGGAGAGCCAGGGAGACCCTCGCCCAGCAGAGCGGATGCCCAGCTCTGATACCCCACCACCAAGAGCTGTTCTTGAGATACCGCTCTGCGTACAGGAAATATTTACAATATACCACTTCACCATTTTAACGTTTTTCTTTATTTTTTGAGGCAGGGTCTCACTGTGTAGCCCAAGCTGGTCTCGAACTCAGAGCAATCTCCTGCCTCAGCCTCCAGAGTGCGGGGATGACAGGTGCCCCCATGCCCACTCACTTGTGCTCCTGAAGAGGCGGGTCCAGGTGTGCTCCGCGCCTGCGCCCTGCTGTGCAGCCACGAACCCCGGCCATACACACCCCCAGCCTCCGCCCTCCGCTCTCCCTCTAGGCTCCTCCGCTAGTCCAGGGCACTGGTCTTTTGGCTGGGATGCAGCTCAGTGGCGCCAAGCAAGCGCAAGGTTCTGAGTTCAATCCCAGGTACAGGAAAAAAAAAAAGAAGAGGAATCCAGAGTACCGCTCTTGTGATGGCTCAGTTCTCCTGTGAGAGGCTTACATTTTCTGGCCAATTTTCCAAATGACCCTGTCAGTGGTTAGGTGAACTAAGATGGCCTGAGTAGAACTGGAATTCTAATTTGTAAAATTAACTTTTTAAGAAGCAAAGAATTTGCTATCCCTTACTTATGTCTACACAATGGTGTCAAACCTGTGACCTGCAGGGCCCAGAACAGAAAGCTGTCAGTCAAGGAGCCGGAGGGGACCACGCAGCGAGAGGCAGCCAGCAGTTTGGGGCTCTGCACACGCCTGCTGGCACTCCCGGGACTGCAACCTGGATGCTACTGCTGTCAGTTGGACCTCAGAGTTGGTGAAACATAAGCAAATGAAGGACTCCCGTATTTTGTTTCTCTTTTGTTTTTTTGAGACAGGGTCTCACTATGTATCCAGGCTGGCCTCAAACTCAGAGCTCCTCCTGCCTCAGCTTCCCCAGTGCTGGGATTACAGGCCCGCGCCACCACGCCCGACTTAAACTGTTGCTTTTCAACAGCAGTGTTTTCTTTCTGCCTGCCTGCTGCTCCCGAGTTCCTCCCCCTTCCCTCAACATCCCCCAGGCCCCTGGCACCACCAAAGGGGACAGGAGGAGCGAGGCCTCCTGCCTACTCACTTCAGCAGCTTGTGCTTGGCAGCGGACTCCTGGAAGCTGCGGAACTCCTCCCCGGCCTTGATCTCGTAGAACTGGGGCTTCAGCACGGCCTGCTGGTCCTCCCGGCGCTGCTCCTGCCGCCGCACCCTGTCCTCCTGCTGCAGCAGCCGACGCTGCCTCCGGACCTCGGCCACCCAGTCCTTCTCGTCATCGGAGCTGTCTGAGCTCTCTGCATCGCTTGGCCTGCCCTCTGGCTCCTCCTCCTCCTGGAATAGGAAAGGGTTTATTTCCACAGCCCTGGGCAGGAGAGAGAGTAAGGGCTGAGAGGCCTGTGGTAGATGGGCTGACTGGAGATACGCGAAGGGTGAAGCTACAAAACCTTATTTCGGTAAAGGACACACTGCTGAGAGCCACGGGTAAGTGTGCTCGATTCTGAGGGTGATTCATGGCAATGGGTCTTCTACGGTAATGAATTTTAAAATTTAATCGTGCGTTGCATTTTTTGATCACCTCTTGCTATCAAACATTTACTGCAGTTTCTGTCAAACAAACACGAGGCTGTGTTCTCATCCCCCTTATTCACTAATTGCACTGTGCCATTTCCGGCTCCTCCCAAAGTCAAAATGACACCCAGGGGAAGGGTTTTGAACCCACTCTGGACATCAAGGCAGCCAGGACAGCGCAGCTGAAGACCCTCCGGAAAGAGAACTCTGGAGCTGCTGCGGGAGAGGGCGATGGGATGAGTGTGTCTGAAGGGAGGGATTCTGAGGGGATTCATGGCAGTGTGGCTTTTCCTCCAATAAACAATAATAAAAAAAAAATTTAAACATTCACCCATAGTTTTCTTTCCTTCCTTCCTTCCTTCCTTCCTTCCTTCCTTCCTTTCTTTCTTTCTTTCTTTCTTTTTTTTTTTGATACTGGGGATGCAACTCAGGTCCTTGCGCTTGCGAGGGAGTCGCCAGAATCACTGAGCTAAATCCCCAGCCCTCACCCATTGTTTTCGATCACACCTCAAATGTCAAAGTAGAATGGGGCCAGGGATTTAGCTCAGTGGTTCCACGCCCACCTCGAAAGAGCAAGGTCCCAAGTTCAATCCCCAATACCAAAAAAAAAAAAAAGTCAAACTAGGAAGAAATTAAATTACATCTCAGGTCTAAGCAGAGGCTT